AAAAAAAAAAAAAAAAAAGTGAAAGTAGAAGGCACTGCAAACAGCCCCCTCTGAGGGTCTATTTACACTAAGGAAACGACCCTGAGCTGACACTGGGAGAGTGACTGGTTGCTAATTACCCACCTCTGCGAATGCTGAAGGTAATTTAAATGCTGATGTGGATGGGACAAAACTTAGCAATAGCAAGCGAGAGCTAACCACACTCGACTGCACAGGTACCTTGCTGTCCATGCCAACATCCTACGGGTTTGTCCCATCAATACTGGCAATTAAAATCCTTTTGACAGAGGTGGAATTTCTGCTGACAGCTCCTGTTGGCAATCAGTCCGTTTTCTAGGAGAGGTGGACTTCTTTTAAAGCCATGAAGCTATTGCATCAGCAGGACGTCCCTAAGTGCTCACACCCCTGACAGAGCTTACAGGTGTTTGGCAAAGGAAAGCAGGATGAATGTTTAAAAAGTTGTTCAATGCATATTTATGTCTTGTCTGTTTGCCACTGTAATCTAGCTCACCGGGAAAACAACCTGCGTTAAAAACACACAAACAGCAAAACAGTATTAAGAAGAAGAAGAAGAAAAGCCAACAAGAAACCCACTATACCCTATGTTGTTATGAAGCTAAGCTCTTGTTTTTGTTTCGAGTATGAACCCATGACTCTGTTCAAGTTGACTGCTGTCCTTCCCTGCTTCTCCTGTCCTGTTGCAGTTTCAGCATGTTTTTGCTGGGGATGGTCAAAGAAGTTTTGTAATGCAGTGGGGAAATTCCTTAAGTGTATGGTAAGAGCACACTGCACAGTGGCTTGACTTAGAAATAGATATTTAGTTTTAATGACTGCTGTTACAGTGTGTTTTGTTGTTGTTTTTTTTTTTTTTTTCCTGGCTGTGAACCCTTTTGAAAATAAGCATGGCTCAGAAAACTTGACTGACTCATACAGGACCAGAAAGAAATGCAACAACTCCTCAGGCTGTTCTTGTTAATTAGAAGAAATAGCTCCACATAGTTTTTCAAATTAAATTTAGCCCTCTTATGTGGACTATCTTCCTTCCTAACCTTGAGCACAAGTGTCTCTTGCACTCCCTTCCCCAGTCCCTTAATGTCTTTGGGATAACGAAGCAGTTGGTGTCAGAGGTACTATTAGGTTCTTACAGACCTACTGCAGTGCAATAAACAAGCTGTCCTTTCTGTGAAGGTCAGGATGGACAGAAAGGGAAGAATCATATTATCTTGTTTTGAGCCAAATTTCAATTTTCTCCTCCAGCCCCTCCTGGGTCTTTCCATTAGAAATCAGGAAGATCTCTCTTCTGCTTTCCAGTAGTAGGCTGCAGAAAGGATAGAAATCCCTGCTTCAGAAATAAGAAAGAAAGCTCCTTGGCTCTGCCTTTGACTCCCTGTAAGCTTGGGCATATCACTCAGCTTCTCTGTGCCTCAGTTGTCCCCATCTGTCCAATGGGGCGAATGGATACAGTGCTTTTGTAAAGCATTTTTGGCTCTTCAGAAAACCAGCAGCCTTGTGGATGTTATGAGCAGCGTTAGGATAACCTGGGAGGAGCAGAGCATTCCCAGGAGGTAATCACAGGTCTGAGGCAGGAAAGCACCAAAACCAGCTCAGCCTGAGGAAGGCTTGGCTGGAGATGATGGCAACTAAACACTAGTAGTGCTGTAAATGCTCAAGGAATTCTCTCATTCCCACAAAGTGCCACTGCTCAGCTCTTTATGGAGCAAATGAAGAGAGGGAAATGGGAAAAGAGCGCCTCGTTACTACATGCTACATTGCTCATATGTTCATTTTGTGACCTAGGCTCAAAAGTGTGGAAGAGGAAGGTGGTCCTGCTAGGAAGACAAAAAAAATTGTCTCACCATTCTATCAATCTTAATTGATGCAAAGATGAAGAAATATGGATATGTTTGCAGTGTACAATGTTATGGCGCTTCTTTGAGCACTTTATGCTCATCTATCTTCACATACATATCTAAAATTTGTATGTAGAGGATACAGAATACATTTAGGTTTGTTGTAGGTCAAAGATCAATTACACATTTTCCTGTATTTCAAACTTCCTTCTTGTCTGGCTGTTAAAATAATGGCTGAGAGTTGAAATATTTAATGGAAACATTTACAACTCCAGTAAAGTATATCATCATAAGTCAATACTGGAGTGACCATTTTGACAGAGGTATAGACCATTCCTTTGGGTTGCTTTTTTGTTATCTGCCTTGGTTCTCCTTCTCCATCACTGTGTGTGTCAACATGCTGTCTGCATCCAGCAAACCACTCTGATAGTGACCCTTATTTGCCAGGCAGGAATGCTTCCACTTGTGCCTCCCATCTTTAGCTGTAGATATTGTGAAGTTTAGCCAGACAAAAATAATATCAATATTTTTTTTTAATCTACTACTACAATCTATTTGGATGGCTGTTTTTGTGCCATGTGAAAAACTTAAAATTATCAAACCTTGATTTTTCAACTGTAAAAAGCTTCTCTGACAACTGCATTCTGCTGTGTCTGTTATCTGCCACAACTGGTGATGGATCAAGACAGCCTGGATTTGGCAGAAACAGTGACCAGGACTAAAAGTTGATCTATTTCATTATTGTGTTTTTCTATCTTCTGGGTTGTTTGGTGTTTTTTTTAAAGCACACTTTCATGTTTTTCCTATCCTCCCAAAATGTTCAAATTTTTGCTCACGTAATGTAAATAGATGAAAATCATCCAGCAACCCCTCAAATGTTCCTAATTGCCTACACATAAAATGACTTGGGGAAGATACATTGAAAAGTGGTCAGTGAGAAGGGAAACTGAGAAAAAGTAACAAACAGGGACTGTGGCAAGGTTTTGACTGTATAGATTTTAAAGTACTCTAAAGGTTTTTTTCAACGTAATATGCAGCAGCTTCTTATAATTTTCTCAGCAGTAGGTAGTTTACAGTCATCTGTACCTAGAACAAATCTTGTCAAAAATGAAGGTCTGTAGTGATTGCTGGGTATAATTTTATACATTTAGCTGATTTTTCTGAAAGCTTCCACTGTGCTGCTGTTGTCAGACTAAATTATCAATTTAGCCATTTGTTGTTCAATGAATAAAAAACTCCTATGGCATTGGAGATGTTGTGGTTTCAATAAAGCAAAAGCTTTAACAAGTGAAAGTATACAAAGAAAAGTGTGTACTGTATATAAGAGCAGTGTTTTTATTCCTTTAAATACCATTTTAGATTTTAAAAAAGCCAATTACATATTCACTTAACACATTCCTCCTACTTCAGGCCAATGATGCAGTCCAAACCTGTTTACTGCTCAGTACCTTGGAAAATGAAACCAAAATACAATATGTACAAGGTAATAGGCCATTAGCACAAACATGCTCCCAGTAAAAATCCTTTGTGTAGGCACCTTTCTAAAAGCTGCCAATTGTGGCTGATAGAAGTATTATAAAAGAAGTGATTTTAATTCTATTTAAGGCATTAAAAGCTGAAGAGTATCTGTTTAAAGCATTAAAGTAAGAGCTGCGTGTATCTAATACCTTTTAAAATGCCCTTCTGCTGATTTATAATTCATCCTGAACCTGCTAATAATGAGTATACATAAGCAAATACCATCTTCCACCTATTCAGCATGTCATTGATATGAAAGCCCCAGAAAATATCTCACGCAATCAGTGTGTTCAGAGAGTTATCTAGCACAAATTACTCATTAACTCAATAGCACATAATAAAAAAGAACATCAATTAATTAATGAGTCACCCTCAGATCACTTTGATTACAACACAGCTCTGTTGAAACAGCGGTTATAAATGGAGCTGCCTCTCTTTATTCATTGTTTGCAATTGGCCCATTATTTTGCAGAGACCAGTGTCATATTTAACACATGCCTGCAGGTAATTGTGTGATTAGTTTCATAAATGAAGATGCAGAGGGAGAACACGGAGTGCCTTGCTCGGCACCTGAGTCGGAAGTGAATGCGGAGCTCTGTGGCAGCCATGGGGGCAGCCTTTCTCTCCCTTCCCCTCAAAGCCTTCACTGCATGGCCCTGGTGACAGGACAACACCCAGAGCTAGTCCTGCTGACCTCTAATCCAACCCAAAAATCTCAAAGCCTTGGGAAAACATTCATGATTTGAGCCTCCCTCCTCCATGGATGTCAGTCTCTTCTCCCAAGTGACAAGCAATGGGACAAAAGGAAATGGCCTCAAGCTGGGCCAAGGGGAGGTTTGGATTGGAAGCATTCTTCCACCAAAAAATGGGTTGTCAAGCACTGGAAGAAGCTGTCCACCATCCCTGGAGGTATTTGTGGATATGGTGTTCAGGACGTGGCTCAGTGGTGGGCTGGGCAGCGCTGAGTTAATGGTTTGACTCAAGGACCTTAG